AAACTAACTTCACTAATAGACTCGCCCGGGCCTAAACCCTCCAGATTGAGCCTCCCTACATCAAGAACGACCGAGAACCGGCCGTATACACTAACTTCCTCTCCCGCTCACTTCTTCACCCGCCATAGCCCGCGCGCCGACTTTTTCCTCCCCCTCATTTTCTACAAATTCTCCTTCCCTTTTGACTTCACTAACGGGTTCGCCCTAGGCAAAAACCCCGGGGTAGCCTCTTCATCCACCCGATTCTATGGGGAGTCGAGAATGCTGCCCCCTTGCCTGTTGCGCCCTGCTCGTCTCATCCGCCATCTTCCTTTCTCTTGGCATGCATGCACCCGACGCGCTTTCGCGTCCGGGTTCATTCTCCCCTCGCAGCAACGCCCTGCAGGTCCTACTGCCTGCTCCTTCGCCGACCCAGCACCCCTCTCGCTGCTACCTGTCTCCTCCGCTCACCTTCTCCCTCAGCGCGCCTCTGTTTTCCCCTGTCGCATGCACCTTGCGCCCCGCCGCGCCCAGATTCATTCGTTCCCCCCCTCGCTCAGCGCCCGCCCCCACTACACTCACTACCGGCTGCGTTATCTGCCCACTGCCTTTCTGTGCCTGCCTTCAGCGCCCGTCCGACAACCACTCCACCGTGCTCCGACCATCGACCCTCCTGCGCCGCGCTGCCCTGCTACCTGTATACTCTACCTATGGCAACCCGGTGCGCTGGCAATCCTACCTGCGGTTGCCCGGTGCCGCCCGACTTTTCCCTGGTGGCTGTCACTCCAACTTTTACTCCGACCGCAGCCGGCAAAGTTCCCAACCGGGTACATCTCGATCTTCCCTTAAATGTCCCCCCCCCCCCGCTGTCTCATCGCCTCCCCCGTCACTCCACTACCAGGGCCGCGCCCTACCTCCAGATTGCTTCCCTCCTAACCGTTCTCTCCGGTACGCTATCTTGGGCGCTACATCGGCCCACAACAACACATGATGGGCACCCTGTAGCCGAGGGAGCCAACCTTCGGTAGGAACCGCACGGTAGCTCCCCCTATCGACAACAGACTGCGTTGCCGCCTACCGGCTGAGGTAATCCGCTCGACGACGGGCAATGCTACAGCCTGCATTCTAAGCCGGGCCGCAGAAAAATGGCCCCACGCGGCATCTAGTGGGAATGGGAACCTGGAGGGGTACACTGTGGCTAGTCCCATGTGGTCTGCTGCTGTTATGCCCACCCGTGGGGGGGGGGTCAAACACTCCCCCGCCAGCATCCCGAACACGCAGAAACCCGAACGGGCCCGCCGAAAAAGGTGCGGGCTCAAGGTCCTTGAATGCTGTAACGGCCATTAAGTCCGGCGTCGCGTTCGAGTCAACGGCACGCCGGAGTATATATATATATATAGGGTTCAACCTCCTGATGAGTCGGTGAAACTCCGACGAAACAGTTTGTCACAGCCCCTCGTTTGTTGTCCTCTTCTCCCTCTCTGCCTACGGTTTACCGGACAGTTCTATTTGACGATATATAAGAGAAAAAATAATGGACATATGGCGCCAAAATAAATTATTCAGAAATTGCCACCACCAATCCTGCGTCGCTGACGGCAAAACCAAAAGGGATAGCCTCGCCGGGCCCTCGACCCCATCGGCTTCCTCCTCGACCTCCGCTGCTGCCGCGCCGACGTCCGCTGGCCTCGATCCCCGCACCTCTGTATCACCAACCCAATGTCGTAACCTATAGGGCTAAACCCAAGCCTAAGACCAACGCCCGCAGAATACTATACAAGGCAGTGCGGCTCGACGCTTTGGGCCCACAAACCGGCTGCGCGGCTCCCCAGTGCCCGCGCCGGCTTGCTCAGTCCGTGCCATAATTGCCCCGCGCGCCATCCTACGACACCCCGCCCACGGCACGAAGTCGCGCCGTCGTTGCCGATTTCATCATCGGGGTCGATCTCCGCAGGCGCGCTCGACTCGGTCAAACGTAGCCATCGGAGGAAAATATCCCCTAAATCCTAGCTTAATCACGAGTAACCAAGAATAAAAACTTAAGGATAAAAATAAAAATAAACAGATCGGCGCGGTTTCGAAATCAACATCAGGGGATAAATTACGCGCGCCTTAAACTTGCGCGCCCACACACTCTTTTACTCTGGTCAACCAACCAGCCAATGTAACTTACAGACGCGGCTGCGCCTAGCGCGGTATACTTAAACCTTAACCAGAATATTTTCTGTCGCTTGCAAAAACCAGGGCGGATACCCTTGTAAGGGTATTCGCGCCGACAGCTTACCGGACCATATTAAGCGACGTCCCAGTCGCTTCGCCAAATCAGAAGGCTATAAATCCACCTGCACTCCAAATGCTGACGAAATAGGAGCCAATCCGATTAGCCGACAAACACAGGGTCGAGGCCTCCATCAAACCATGCCTCCACAACTCTATGCTGCGAGGTTTCGAAACCGGGCCCACATCGCCCAGTTTTTAGGATGCTGACAGCATAAGTTCCAAAGGCCTTCCCAATCATCCTCTCCCCGGTTCTAGAGCGGGCCGTAACCGAGACCTTTGAAGGCACTCTCGCCTCCCTTCTCAGAGAATCTCTCGCAATCAAATACACATACGTATATTTGTATACTTAATACCCACTCAGCTCTTTCTGCAGTCTAGTACAGAAAGGTTAGGTCTCCATCTTGGCCCACCATAGCCTGGATGATCGGACCAGGACTACGGCTCACCGCATTGTTATTTTAGCGGCAGTACTTTCGTTGATTACGCAACGATAGGTTTTCTCCTGATAAGCATTCAATCAGGATTTCCCAAAAATTCTCAACCTTTACTACCCCACGGAGTAATTTCCTTGGGGCGGGCAACTCCCCTTAAACTCTTACTCCGAGGTCCCGCAGCCAGGTTGCGCCAGCTAGCAGCCATCCACTGGGGTTACGCCCTTGAGGTGCTAATCTTTACCGCTTAGCTTGGTATTCCCCTACTATGTCCTAGAACTTAGCACAAGTGGTTAGACGGAGCGTCGCAAAACCAATCACGGGCCGACTGCGAGGTTACGCAGGGGTCTGAAGGCATTTACCAGCTCTCCCACGAAAGGCATGGCATCCTTCGCACAACCACAAACAAAATCCGCTAGGTCCACAAGGCCGTGACTCCTGACTTGATCAGAGCCAGCAGCCACCCATCCTGAGACGTCTCTCGCCCTGCACTCTTTTGCGACTTTCTCAAACATCTCAAGCAAACGTGGTCCCTTTTCGTCAGACTTTATTAACTCAACACCGCTTACCATGCCCTTAAATTCACTAACCACCTTTCCCATGAAGGAGGTCTCTCTCAATAGGTCTCTCAGCCATCCCTCTCTTCCTAGGATGAGCTATCACACGACCCCTTTTTAAAACACCTCCCCTTTTGGGGATGAGTCTTCCGATAAATAAACATTACCACCTTCCTTAATATGAAGGGGTCTCAACCATAGAGCAACTCAGCTATAGAACAACTCAAACTGAGAGGCCTACTTATGGGTCCTCTTCACAACTCAACCACGAACTAACTCAACTGAGGGGCCTGCTTATGGGCCCTTTTTGCGACTTAACCATAAAACATTTGGCATGGTAAGTATTCTAGTCTCAAAGACTCGCAAAAAATCCCTTAGGATCCTCACGCTTTCACAGTAACAGACTGCACTCCCTCTCCTTATACTCGGCCTTATCACCCGCCCGTAGGCAGATCGCGCGAGTATACCGGAGAGTAGACAGTTCACATCCACTCATTCTCACAAAATCACCATTCATTAGGATAAAGTCCACACATGTGAGAGTGATTGTGATCGTCATATACAAAAGACAGTCTTGGATAAAGCCTCGACTCAATATATACACAGGGGTACAATACCCCAACTCAAACGCGAGCCAAATGTCTCAAATTACATATATACACTCGGAGTTGAACAGTCTCAACTCAACTTGTCACTGGTATCGCACAAGAACAAATGCGGTCTCCCTGACCAAAGCTATAGCTAAAACAGTTTGATCACAACGTAGCCATACTCCTCAAGTCAGAGGGACTCAAGTAATCCAAGACATATCCAGATACCCCCGGACAGGTAAGACTAGAAGTCATTCATGCACAAGTCTTACGATTGCCTTCCTAGGCTAGAGAGCCTATCTCCCATATGTGGAGGTTTCTTTTCGAGCCTCTCTTACCACTCACACCTATACAACCATTCAGGCCTGGACACGACGTAGGTCCCATACCTTCTTCTCTCAGTCAATAAGCCTAAAGAACAGACCCTTATTTCGTAACAATACTGTCAGGGTCACTCCGTGCTCCATCTACTTGAGACACCCCAATAACGTGATGCGCGCGGATCTAACCTTCCCCACCTATACAGTTGCTGCTGGAGCCCCTCCTGTCTACAACTCAAACCACCTTACCGGACCAGTATTACGAAAATCCCTTCCCTGTGTACGCTGTGCGTACCTACAACAGCTATACGATTGGGATTTCTCGCTTGCATTCACAGTCTGCTTGAATTTCCAGGCCCTTCTCACACAAACCCTTTCTCTTTACGACTACTTTCACGAGGCCGTGCTCGATGCTGCCTCTCGCCGCAAAGCCTCCTTCCGTGTTCCCCCAGGGATGGTTGGGTCGATATACTTCCCGACCCTGTCGAAAACATTTCCCTCAATGTCAGTCCTTATTAGACCGCTTGCCTCATCGGCCCTTCGCTCCCGACAAAACTTTATTATGTGCCCTTCCTTGGCACAATGTCTGCAAATGTCTTCTCCCCAACCCACTCTCTTCTCTCCGGAGCCGCCTTTGCTGCCACCGCGTTCCTTTTTTTCGTGCCCCTCATCCCTACAACCCTTTTCAACCTTTCGCTTTTGACCCCTTCTACCGGCCACGTGACCTTCCGTCGCTTGTGGTAGCGGTGGCTACAATGGCCCTATACACAAGGCTGGCTGAAACTAGACTGCAGGAGGCCTAGGTGGCATCATACCCAGTTGTGGGCCCAAACAAACGCCTTGTACACAGGGCAGATATGAATTATATATGGGCCTTGGTCCCACTTGACCGTATGGCGTTCACGGCCCGTATAATGTCCGCTCAGTCGGCGGAGGCCCCGCCTGTGCTGGCTTTCCTCCCAACTCTTGCGGGGTGGCCCCTCCCTGCCGCATGCCCTGCCCCTTTCCGGTACCTTGGGTTTTCAGGGCCCGATTCCTCGCCTTCCGCTGAGCCTTCGTTAACTTGGGAGGTTCGGGTTTCCCTCTTTCACCCATCACCCCCTCTTCCTTGCCTCTTTGAGGGATGCGACCAATCTTTCCCCAACGATCACATACCACTTCTGCCCTGTGCTCTGGCCACCACTCACTCCTTTGCCTCCCCCGAACCGCAGCTGACGGTGCCTCTCTGCCAATGGGCCCTCCCTTCGGCTCCGACGCAATAACGGGTAGGGCCATACTAGATTCTCGCTCCTCCTTGATCTCAATGACCCCCTCATCTTCATCTCTTTCTAGGGCGCAAACTTGCTCTCTCGGGGTCCTCTTGTGGAGGAGTAATTCCTGATGATCCTCCCCTACCTCCGCCTCAACCTGCCCAGCCGGTCCGTTAGATGCTCCTTCAAAAGTCTTCCTCTCTCCACGCCTGGCTTCTTCCAACCGCGCCAACCTCTCTCCCAGTATCCCAACTTGCCTCTGTATACCACTCAGCTCTCCTTGCGTTGACGCGGCCTCGGTTGGCTGCTCAGGGCCCTTACCAAGCCTGCATTCCACCCCATCCTCTGGGAACCTCAACTTTAGAGAAGCTTCCAGCTCATCCCAGGTTTGCGACTTCAACATGAGGGTGTACACGTCCTCACTTAGTCCTTCACAAACGAACACGGGGAACATGTACCACATTGCCTTCTCGTCCCACAACTTCGTAAGGCAAAAATCATGAAAGTCGCGCAGAAATCTAGATAGGTTCCTTCCTTGGAACAGCAGGGCGCAAAGATCTGGGGGCATTGACGCCTGCAACACTTCGTGCAGCAACACCTTCAAAAGGCACGAATTCCTCCAAAGCAAGATCTTGGCGAAGCCGCTTTCTCCCGACATGATGCTGACAGCAGCCTGTTACGCACAGCGGTCAATAGACCATCAAACAGTGATTTAAGTAAGCTCAGGCAGACAAGGGCAGACTGCTAACACTTAAATCCTGCTATCTACTCCTTTACTCATGCGATTGGGCCTCAACCCCTAGTTACCCTGACGCTTACCTTCATAACTACGATAATGGGCAGAGAGACGACACCGGCTAAGTGAAAAGAAACGCATTTAGTAGAAAAGGACGACATCCCCTATCGGCCCACTTCTGCCCGAATCTCCTCCCGGTCTACATTTCCCTCATTCGGATCATGAGACGAGGCGTATACGTCCAGTGTATTGGCCGTGTTCCTGAGCCACTGACTAGAAGGTGAGAATTTCGGGTCTAAGTACAGGCCATATATCAGTTCACATGTATAATGTCCGTACTCCCAGTCTCGCGCCCTCAAGGCCGCTTCTGCTGCCGCCTCTATTCTTGCCTGTCCACCAAAGCTCTTCTCTACGAGGAATCCAGGCAGGACAACTCGTAGTGGAGCCGATGGGAGCGCGAACTCTCCCGCGCACTTGACTCCTATACGGGTTAATACTTGCTCTTCTCCGGCACGGGACGCTTCCCTCGCCCATTTCGCTGCAGCTGCCTCGGCTACCCTCAAAGGTTTAGCAAGTAGGCTCCCATGTCCAAGTGCCAACTCTATCCCATGCTCGATCCAAAAGGCGGCTGAGGCGTACAGGGTCACTCTTACGATTGCGCATTCCCGCTCATCATCAAACCCAGACTCGATCCAGACAAAAATGTCCGTGCCCATCGACATGCCCCACCATGAAGAGATGTACTCTCCTGCTCTGAACCGCCCGGGTAAGACACCTTGAGCCCTCCCTCTCTCTCAATTGGCCCGAGCATACGCGGGTCTTCCCGTGCATGAGGCATCCTGAGTTGCCTTTGCTTTGTCTGGGTTCTTCCCATCACAAAAAAAACGTCCCGCATACGCCTTCCGTTATCAATCAACATCGCGTTCCAACATCTCTACTCTTTTTAAGGAGCAACCCGAGCACATAGACTTAATACCCAATCGTAAGTTAATCATTGGGCTAGGAAACACCCATACAAGTCCTGACAACCTAAATTGTTCAAATACATACTCAGGCGCATAGCCCACGTAAATACTTATGAAAGGGGTAGTCGCTAAATAATATAATCACTAAGCCCATAGCCCCACACAATCCGACATCAGGCCGGCTTACTCAGGCACTATCTGGCATATATGGGCGAGCTCAACATATAACTCAAGAACAGCGCCTTTAGATGAGAATAGCCTCAAGTCCTTAACTCCAACCCCATAGAGTCGAGCGGATGGTCCAAGCCCGAAAAGGCTCGCGCGAAAGTCTAGTATCGCCTATACCCTCCACCCTATCAGGAGTAAGCGAAATAATCCAGGTGTTAGCTCCTCCACTACTACTCCACCTGCCAATACCCACCTTTAACAACAAGAGTACCATGCGAGCCTACTACTCCCCGTAGTCCTTTCTATCGGGGTCTTACCACGGTGCTCACTGCATCTCTTTACTGCCTTATACGCCTAGTTCCAAGCATACCAGGCGAAGCAAACCTCAAACTTCTATGGTTATGCAACTCGGGCAACTGCTTAGAACCCAAATTCCAGGATCCCCACTCATACTCATACAGACTCTCAATATCCTTAGCCTAACTCTCCTTGAAGTCCCTTGACGACTCCTAACATAGTAGGCTTGCTTTACTCCTTCTATGCCTCGCCCTAAAGCCAAAGTGCTATATTGCACCCTTGACTGCTCGGGTAACTTCCCTTAGCCGTTATGGGCGCCTTACACGGCCAACTCCCACAACCACCACACTTACCCTTGTCGATACCGCCTCATCCTACCTTAGTTGTATCAAACATATCAATCATCGCCCAAACCCATCAACTATCGGGGTTAGAAGAGGTATCCACTCCAACCACCGTCATACTAGTCAAAGTACGCAAGTGCATAGTCAAAGTACGTGCGCGCATAGTCAAAGCTTATCCCTTCCCGTGTCACCCTTACTGCACCGAATAGAACCAACTCGCACAATCATCCCTCACTTGGTCTTTATCCAATACCAACAATCGATTCACCATGAAGGTCAAGAGAAACTTCTTACTTTGCCTATTTCTCACATTCCAATACCCGGATGTCGTTCCACCAGGGACAACGGTAGGCGACTGTTATCCCCGGCAACGGCGCCACCTGTCGGGCGCACTCGGCCAGAGCGGCCTAAGGAAGCTCCATTTGCGCGTTCGTGACGAGGTTGGTCCAACTCCTGCGTGACGCGGCCGAGAGGGTCCCGCGCTGCCGCGTGCGGTGCCGGACCGATGCGCCCGACACCGGGCCCTGAGTGCGATGCGCTCCTGCCAATTGGGGACATGTTGCCCATGTTTTGAGAAACCAACTGGGCCGACTCCTGCTGCCGTTCCCAGAGCGGTGCTTTCCTCCCCCAGTCCACTTCGATGGCATTGCACAAACCCTGTTTCACCAATCTCTTGATCTCCAAATCGGACAGTGGGCTTTTTCTGAAACCTGGCCCTGTTCCTGTCCCTCCAGATGATCTCGCAAATCAGCCCCCGGATCACGTGAGCAAACATACCCCCATCCGCTTTTACAACTCTTGCCTGCTGCGGGGAGGAAGCTGAGTAAGACCCACCGCTCATCACATTTAATGGAGCCATCCCTGGATGCCTGCCAATGTTGCTCCCTCCATCTCCAAATCCTCTTGGAGGCGGGGCATTCCCACCAGAGGTGCTGGGTAGATTCGAGGGACCAACTGCACCTTCCATGGTTTAGCTCTACCTCCATACCTCTACCCAATAACCATACCGCTGACGGAGGCGCCATAAGTGATAGCATCCATAAGATGCTTACCATACCGCTGAGGAAGGCACCATAAGTGATAGCATCCATAAGATGCTTACTTGTTTGCCATTGGGTAACTTCTGCAGTGTCTCCCAAAGTTGGATGAACTGAGGTCCCTCCAAAGAGAGATCTTCCCGGCGTACCGCTTGCCACCTGTTAATGGCGATCTCTGAAGGAGTCTTTCTATTCATGCTCTTGAGTCTGAGGTTATAGCCTTTCGCCACTGTGTAGTCTGCTAGCCGAAGAGTGGGAGCTCGCGTGTCCCCAGTCTGCCATCCCCATGCCAGCGGATCAATGGATAGCTTCCTTAATGGCGTACTGCCCATCCAAGTAAGCATCAGTCTGGAGGGCGGTTTTCCCCTTCCCTCTACCACCCGGATCTGGGCCGGGTTTTCCCAAGACATAATCACCGTCTCATTGACAAGGGACAACAGTTTTGTGTGTTTTTTGCAGTTCCATCTTTCCACCCTGCGGTAACCACTTGACAATATTTCCACTGCCTTCCAGACTGTGCCACTTTCCTCTGTTTTCAAGCCATACCAAATACCAGGGGGGTCATACCCCTCTGGTCCCAACAGCAGATACCACTCTGGGGGAATCGCGTTTACTAGCTGGTTCCAGTGTTCCTCCACTTTCCGAAGCTCTCTGAGGGTTCCCATCACTGCCGACGTCGGGCGCCATGTTCCAAGGAGCCCCAACCACAAGTCACCAATTCGTACCACTCCCCTGTGCACCTCGCTTGTCAAAAAGAACTGGTTGAGCCGCCTGCAGCAAATGTATCCCCAGCAGTGTTCCTGATCTTCAGATTATCGAACAGTAAGAAAGGTTCATGACTTCTTCCTTTGTGGACGGGGCTGCACGTGCCTCTGAAGGCAATCTGTTCCAAACCGTGAGGATCTCCCAGCAAAACTTCAACGTTATCCTTTTCTTTCTGAAAGACGGCACGAACAGGCATGCCCATACATCCTGGGGGCGGCTTAGGTCCCACTTCTTCATCAGTATATGCTCTGCGAAGGTGACCCAATGTTCCTTTGTGGGAGCGTTTGCCACCTTGCTGATCCGAGAACATAACTGCGCCTGCTTCTTCTTCGCTGGTTCCACCAAACCCAACCCCCCTTCTTCGCAGGGGAAGGTTAAGGTCTCCCATGTGCCTCCTTTGCCCTTGGCTTCCATAAGAACCGTGCCGCCAGTTTCTTTATGGCTTTGATGGCCCCGTCCGCAATCTCTCTTACGGTACTTACGAATCACAGAATTGAAAACAGTGCCAGGTTGGCTACCAGCGCTCTGCCTATCACCGAAAGGTGCCACGCAGTTCCCCATATGCACAGTCTGGCCGCAATCCTTTGTTGTAGCAGCAGCTCTAGAGTAGAAAGCCCAACTTGCAAACTTATGAGCACCCCGAGGAACCTCTCCTCCTCATCCTCTTTGATCCTCTGCATAGCCCATTCCACCTTCAGTCCAAACTGTGCTGGTAGCAGAAAGACAGATTTATTCAGTTCACAGTTGCCTCTGACAGTTCCGAGTATTCGACCAATGCCCCCTTCAGTGCACCTAACGATTCCACCGTGTTCTCGCTGATGTCAAAAAGGTTATCGGCAAGTGCCTTCACCTTGCATTCCTCTCCACTGTGCAATTGCAGTCCTTTGATGGATGCGCTGCGTCGGATTCTGTTCGGCAATACCTCCATCTGAAGCACGAACAGCAAAGGGGCCAATTGGCAGCCCTGTCTGAGGGAGCGAGAGAGCCTGAACGATTCAGACAAATGCCCGTTGATCATGACCGCCGATGTCGAGAGGGTATACATTGCAGTCACCCACTTACCGAAGCTGCAGTCAAACCCCATTCTCCTCAAGGTGGTCATTATGAAAGGCCATTCTACCTTGTCATATGCCTTCTCCACGTCTAGGAGAAGGACAGCGGTATGCAACGTTCCGGACTGAACTACCTCCAGGGCCCTAGCGCTGTTACTATGTTGTTGAAAATAGACCGCCCCTGCACAAATGCCCCTTGATCCCTTGCCACAAGATCTGGCAGCCAATTCCCTAATCTACGTGCTAGTGACTTGGCCAGGACCTTATAGGATACGTTCAAGCGGCAGATGGGATGCCAATTTTTGATGTCCGCTTTGTCCCCCTTTTTGAACAATATACCGATATGATCCCATGTGTCATGCCTCTACCCAGCCTCCCTCCCCCCAGGTCATCATTGTACAGTTTGACCCATGCAACTCCTCTCGCTTCGCAGAGACTGAGGTAAAACTCAACAGAGGCCTCCTATTCCTGGGGATTTACCTTTCGCCATCGACTTTACTGTTTGTGTGACTTCTTCCAGTGTCAACAATCTGTCCAAGCTGAATCTGGCTGAATTTGTGAGTCCTACTGTTGTATCCTGCCACATGTCAGAATAATCGGATAAGTCAGTATTCGGATCTTCCAGGGGACGTCTGGAGGTGAGGATGTCTTCATAGTACTGCTTAGCATAATGTAACATTCCACCAGCTGTACCAGCTAGCCATTGGGGCGCTCTCATCAAACGGGTGACGAAGCTCCACCATTTGCTGCTGGGTTCGGCGCGGCTGCAGTCTCTTGAATGTCTTCTTGGTCATGTGATCGTGAGTCTCCATGCCCTTCTCCTTGAGCATTTCTGACGACCTCCTTTGTTTCTCGAACTGGAGCTTGTCCCATTCTGCAACCCGCTTCTCCCTTTCTGCAGCCCACACTATAGCCGATATAGGGTGTCCTCTATGTGGTCTTCTGCCTCTTCCACTCTTCATAGACGGTCTGCTTCTTCCGCATTCCTTGCCTTTGCAAGGGTTCTTGAGCACACATCCATGACTCCGGATATGATGGCTACCTCTGCATCAAACCAGTCTGCTTCGCTCTGAAAGTACTTCTTTGCACCGTCCCATCTAACCATGTGATCGTGGACCCGTTCTCCGATTCCAGGATCCTCCAGCACTTGGCTGTTGATCCTTAAGAAACCTCTACCCCTCTCCAAGCCTTCCTGTAGTATGATGATTGTGACCACAGGTTTGTGGTCAGACAGCGGGTTGCAGATATTGCACACCGCAGATACCCCTTCTCACACCTTCTCCCTAACCAAGTAGTAGTCCAAGCGGCGCCTAGTTAACCTCTATCTGTTCTGTCGCAGATGAGAGTACCTCGTGTACCCAGGGTCCTCCAGGTTGGGAACACAAAACGGGTCTGTCAATGCCAGTTCCGACATGAAGTCTGTCAGCACTTGCACATCGCTCTTTCCACCCAACAAGGAACCCGGCCGTAGCACGTTGTCCAAGGACCGGTTCCAATCCCCGGCTAAGCCTACCATGTCCACCTTTGGAATGTGGGTGACCAGGTTTCTCAAGAAACTGGTTCTGTCTCTCGTGTCTGTTGGAGCGTAGACGGTCATTAAGACCCAATCCTCTTTCCTGCTTCGATTTTGATCCATGCCCACCTTCCCCACAGGTCTCCCTCCTTGTCCACTATCCTGACCTGTAGATCTCTGTGCAAGAGGATACATACACTCCCGTGCGTACCCTGCGCTGGCGCCCACATCCGGGGGCCATCCCACCCTTGGCCCAACTCTCTCACCTTCTCCTTGCATAACTTTTGTCTCGTAAAGCATAATGCAGTTTATTCTCCACTCATGAATTCACACCTTTAACCTCCTCCTCTTCGACATCCCCCCTGTGTCGCACAATCATCTCACATTCCAAGATGCAGCCTTCAACCTATCCATTTATCATGTCTGCTTCGGCTTTTTCTTGGAGGCGGGTCTGGGCTGTGTCTTGCTGTGTGCTGTGCCTTGAGTCGTGCTGAAATCCTGATCTGAACTGGGACAGTCTCTCTCTGCTCTCTCTTGACATATCTCTTGTGCTGCCCTTAGATGAGTTCGACTGTGATCTCGAGCGGCACTCCGATGTGAGGGCTTTAACCATGAAGGGTGAGAGGATGCCTTCTTGTCACTTGTATTTAGGAGGACCAGAGCCGAGACGTTTGGAACAATTTTAATCTGACTCAGTTTGTCCATATGCCTCTCCCTCACTTTGGACATATGGGCCCATCTCATCCCTGCTTGTGTCAACGAATCAGCAATCTCCGGCGGAATCCGAGCGTCCAATATTGGAACGTACAAATTATAGTACCCCTTTCCTGATTCCACAATGACGTTTAGCATGGAAGAGTGTGGGATAAGCCTGACAGGAATGTGCTCGCAGTATAGCTTCTTAGTAAAGTTTATTACAGCCACCGGGGATGGGGATTGGTCTACATCCATCGAAAAGATCACTGGTGTTCCGCCCGGTTCAGCAACCGCCAGTAAGTAGATCCCATCGTTCGCCATAGTGCATGTCAATGGGACTATCCCTCTTTGGACTGTATCCACTTGGCTTCGTCTGACCGTGTCTGCTCTATGGTCCTTCTCTCTGTGTAATCTGCTTCCTTCTGCATCATCCTTTTGTGATTGTTTGCTAGCAGCGGGGCTTTCCATAGAGGACCTGTTGTCAGGGTTCGGATGGGAGTGTCTATCATCTTCGATCCACTCGCTGCCCCACTTCACTCTGGAGTCTGACGTTTTTGACAGTTCCTTCAAAGTTCTCTCTTCCGCTTCAGGTATTACATTCATGTGGCCGCGTCCGTACAGTCGATGATCCACACCTGTCACCTCCTCCCCGTCCCTTCTAATCTCTTCTCTCCACTGCTCTCTCCAGTTTCCGCTACCCCTCCTGTTATGTCTAAGCATTCCTGTTCTTTCTGACCGCCTTGATAACCCAAGGGTGATATGACCTGTGGAAGTTTGTCCAGCAGACAGGTTTGTGTTTTTTGCTTTCCTTTTCCAAATGGGTTTTATAAAAGAATTTGGACCCTTGGTCGCCCATCTGAGGAGCGTAGTTCCTCCAATTGTATGAATTGGAGGGGTACCTTGGCAGCGGATGAACTGGCATTGCTGGGCCAGGTGGCATACCCA